AATTAATTAATATTTTATAATTTTATAATATTAAATTTATAAAAATTTTTAGTTGGTAACTATATTTTGCTAAAAAGAAACGTTTTTATCCAGAATGTTTCTACGATATGATCATCTACACAGATGCGCGTATCTAAAAGATTACAAGCAATATTAATATTCTACAAGTTGAGAAAATAATTAATGCAACATAAATCACATATATGCAATATATATAACTCGTTTGCTTGAATAATCTTTTATATTTCGAATTATTATATATTGACAATATTATTGATTTTTCTACATTAAATTATATGCCGTTTGGTATACATAATCTGATTTGTCAACTAATTACTCATTTTATCCATTTGTTTATTTGAGAAAAAAAGCACGCTTTAAAAATATATTTTCTTTTTTTTAGCAACGTTGCTTTATTGAAAAAAAATTGTGATTAATTTGATCTGAGTGTTACGATGATATGTGTAAACCATTGTACATATATTGCTTTAGGCTTAGGCGATATAGAAGAAATGGAAAGGGATATATAAAAGAAAGTTGTCCGTTCGAAGACTTTCGAGTTATCGGTCTCATTTTCGATTCATTCAAGTTTTATCCGGCCACGCGAACAGTTCTCTTTATCCAAAACTTCAGTGATGTACGAGGATTAATGCGTCCCGAATTTCGTGTCAAGAAAAAACACGAATTGACACAATATTAATAACAATCTAAAATCGACGAATATTATTGTTGGTGATATCTAACGAGTTTATATTTTATATCGTACATTTTTCAAATGTGTGGTATGAAACTTTTGCTTGTAAAGTTATTAAAGTGATTAAAGTAGGAATTAAAAAAAAAAATTATTTTACAGAAAATGATAAATTAACAAATACCAGTTGGTAAAAAAAGAGATGATGAAAAGAATCTCTAGGAGATGTCATTCCATTTCAGTACAAAGATAAATCAACTATGCATAACATTTAATCACTAATTTAATTAAAGTGAATTAAGTGTATTGGGGCATTCATTCGTATTAATTAAAGGAATATTCCACATTATATACGAAAATGCAGGTAAGTTAATTAATTAATATTAAAAGGATTATAATGGATACTCAAAAGAATAAACATTTCCGGTTGCGAAAATTAATATTAATTAAATTTGATGCGCTAATAATAATTTTCAGCTATCTGTAATTATTGTGCTTTTTGCCTTAATATTGGAATTCGTGGAATTTAGTGAAACCTACAAAATTATAAGACCATATAAATTTTACAATCGCCATTCATGGCGACCACCACGATGGCATCCGCTTCCAAAACCCCGGAAACACTATCATCCCATAAAAAAACAACCGCCTAAATATCACTCTTACGAACCAGACTATCACAGGTAAAAGCTCATTATATATTTATTTAAAAAAATTTATCTTTACTTAATAAAATATGATAATAAATTTTGGTTTATTAATTGTTCTTTTTGATCGCTTACTTTAATTATTATATAGATATGCACCGCATCATGAGGAGTCAGTAGATACATATGACGATGACAAACCTTATGTCGTAATCATACAATTTCCACAAAAAAACGAAAAGAAGAAGCATCGCTCCCATCAGCGTCAACATATTTTAGATTCTCCGCGAGATATTGATTATATTGACGACGATGACGACAATGATGAATTGAAAGTATATGAGTTGGATGACAAAGGAGCGCAAATAAAAATAAACCACTAATCGTCGTTACTTGCTTTGTAACAAGTATTGCGATTTGATAAGCTAATTAACAGATTCTAACAAAACAATGAATTAAGTTTTTAATTGTAATATTTATGTCTTTTTATTTGTTTGCTATATTTTATATATTTTATATGTTAACCTTTTGCATATTCAAAGGAAACTGTTAATTTAAAGATATATGCTTATTTAAATATATTATATAATTTATGTGTTGCGCTGTGAAAACATATGTTTTTAAATATATACCATGTTTTATTTATTAAAATTGCATATAATTTTTTTATTTATATTAATTTTCGAAATTATATTATTTTTCTATTTGCAATTTCTAAATCATATTATCATGGATGAGATAATAAAATTGTGAGAAAAACCGAAAATCTCAGAATCAGGATATGTTGGCTCGTTTTTAATATTACACCACACATTTTTCAATGCATTTTTTATTTCTAACATAATAGTCAACGAACATATTGTAATCGTAAATAATAATAATATACAATGTCATGATGTTGATGTGTCGCTGCTGCAGTCTCCGTCTCGCGCAATTTATTTTGCTTTCGTTTATTCTCTCTTGACGCAACGTCGACAAAGATCACTCAAATAGATCCATTCGTACTTTAGGCTCGTGTCTACGTCGGAAAATAGATCAGTCTTTGCAAATAAGTTCTCTCAAAATTTAAATTAATTCTAAAAATAATCCGACAAATATACCGCGGCAATATTCATCAAATTTAGAGAGATTACAGGAAATATTATTCAAAACTAACAGACAATACCAGTCAGCAACTCAGTCTTTCCAAAATTTCGATTATTATAAATATATAAAGTTATTATATTTTTCATTTTGCTATATATATGTCCAGTTATTACAAAAGCAACTACATAATGATGGAATATTACAATGATGTCTCGCCGGATTTGACCAAAGTAACTTCTACTTGAACAACGGCGATCCTTTCCGACGTGCGCCTCTTGGAACACACTCTTCACACACTCCTTCAAGTATTGTAACGTTACAATACTCTACAACCATTTTTTGCATTTTTTTAACATTTACACTCGACTCTACACAGCCGTTTTAATTAATTTTATTTCCTTCACGTGTTTCGCTTAATCGTTTGTGCGTCTTTGTTGATCTTCTACAGCCTCGCTCTCACACGCGGCGATTATATAAACATAGAAACATACAAACACACATGTTTTTTTTTTTTCTTCTACGTTATGCACGATGCATATTTTTTTTCCCGTTTAATTTGCGTGAATAATTAAAATTTGTTTTATAATTTGTATCTCGCCATCAACTACTATTTTCGAAGCACTTTATTGCGCAGGCTTTTTTTAACGAAGCACTTATTGTTTTACTCCTGGGTTATTCGGCATGTTTTTCCATTTCACTTTTCCAGTTTTTTCCTGTTTATTTATTTAACGCTTTTTGTATTTGATTAAGGGTGTGCAAATGGAATTTTTTTTCCGTTCGCCGGATAGAATCTGCTGCGTGTTTTCTCAACATATCACATTTATCGTAAATGCGCATTTTATGCACTAATTTTATACAACGATCCCAATTTTTGCTATTCAGATGTCTTTCGCTAATATAACTTTATTTCTATGGAGAATATATGATATATAATAATGTAAAGATATATAAAAATTCAATAATTTACGGAGTAAATGTTATTTGTACTATAAAAACTTAAAAGCTTTACGGAAGCATCAAAAACGGAAATCCGCCGAAAATGTATAAAACAAATAAAAATCTGTGTAAAATTAGAAATCTTGTAAATACAGAATTATCCGAAAATCGGGCTTTAACGGAGGACACCTGAATTCACGCAAGCGTTAGGATTGATTATGCGTGTGTGATTACCGCGGCAGCTAATTAACGCACGTGTCTCTTTTTGTATGTGTATATAATCAGCGTTTCTCTGAAAGACTTAATAATTATATCCGTTGTAATCACAGTCGATGTAAAGGTGTGTGTACATAGAGGCGATGCTCATCGATACAATATATTCTATATTTAGTCTTTCGTTTACGATTTTCTTCATCGCTTACTCCACCTCTCCACGTTAATTCACGAACGATTCACGTCTCCTTTCGATTTGCCTCAAAAATCCGACGGACGTCCCGATCCCGTAGGGACATCGGAACTGTTTCCACGGCCGTCATCGCGGTTTCGATTTCACACGTGCGTGCGTGTCTGTGTAAGGCGTGGCACTTGCAGGATATGAAAATCAATGGCACACCTCAAAACTGCACCCGCAACAACTTCGTTTTCCCGCGTTCTCTTGCGATTACGCGATACCAAGGAGACCTCCATAATATCTCATAGCAAACTCGTACCGTGATTGTCGCATTCCTATTCGAGGAGGTAGGCCATTCATTGATATCGCGCGTCGACCGAAAGTTCAAAGAGTGAGTTTTACGGTGTGCTTCAGGGTGACAACGAGACCACGACGGGGCTAGGCAGAGCGCTGCGGCGACAGTGAAAGCAGAGGCACGCTGGCAGGACCTTCCCCGTCAAGTGAGCGTCATACCGGTGTCTCGAAGGTCACCTGGAAACACATCATTATTTTATAAATTTATGAAATTGCATAAAAGAGATCGATTTGCAGACGACATGAAATTATTTGTTCGAAATGAGGGCAATATTGTGTTGACAGATCAGCAGGTCAAATAAGAATATTAGAAGATATTTTTTATTTTGTTAAATCCGCAAATATATTATTGGAAGTACGTGTTATTCAATCGTATCTTAATGCATGCATATTTAGATATCTATGTATCACAAGCTGCCAAAATAGATTAACGGTTGTTATCTCTAAATCGGTCAAAGCCTTAATAGACGCAAATATATAATATTTAGAGAAACATACATAACTAAGCGCATAAAACAATATAATTACAGTATTAGAATTAGAAACTATAATTACATTGAAGCACACTAGAAAGTTTATGCACATTTGCTGGGTATATTTGCTTGAAGAGTGAATCCACAAATATCTCTCTTGATATATCTAGGTGTACGTAACGTATAAAGTACTTGAAATGACAATCTGGAGTGTTGCAACTCTCTCGTAATAACGCAATATACGTATAGTTTGATTGTTTGGAGAGAAAGCATTAATGATGGCGCGTGATAAGGATATTGTTCTCTTCCAAATAATAGCGTATATTATTATATGTGACATTCTCGTTTATATGTATTATCAAGAGAGAGAAAGAGAGAGAGAAAGATTGTAGATTTAAATAAAAATTATTAATTCTTATTAAGATATTTTATACTTAATTTAGAAAAATAAAATGTAAATCTAATTAAAAATCTCTAATAAAGATATCGCTTGAATGATGAATATGATAAAATATTGAATGCGTTGGTATTAATTCATTTTAAAAATTTACGTCTGCCTTTTGCTTTATTTATATCTAAAAATAATTGATGCATCTTTTGCGCCATGGGGAAGGCACTCAAGCTACTATCTTCATAATGAGGTCAACGTAATGAAGTCAAGAAATGACATCGACCCACCTCTCTAGTCCCTTTTTTCGATCGTTTCCTCTCGAGCTTCGGTGTCTGAGGTAGCAGGGTGTAATCGCCGCCAGCACCCCCGCTTCGCTGCCGCGTCACAGGGGGATGAGATAGCACGGGTGCTCGCGGAGGCGGCGAGAATTGGACACCCTGCGGCAGTAACGAGTAGCCGAGATTTTGGCTCTGAATAAACGGCGAAGTCGGCGGAAAGTGGTTGGCAACCACCGGCGCCCAATATTGATGCGAATACCCGGCTGAGGAATTGCCTGAGGAGGAAGGGCAAAAAAATTGCAACCATCTCTTGATCCAACTCGTTGGCCCGTATTCATAGTCGGTTCTTATTTCAAGACCGTCTTAAGCAATGTCTTAAGATGCTAATAAGGCTCCGTGATTGGTTTATGACATCTTAAGATTGTACTTAAGATGGTCTTAAATATAAGAACTGACTATAAATACCGGCCTTTGTCTTATCCTTTAAAAATCCAACGTCTAACTTGTCAGGATGCCGATCGAATGACCGGTTACGTAAATCGAATTATTGAAGATTATTTGCTAAACTGCATAAAGTAGATGTGTGAAATGACGTGAACGTATATCGAAACCTTTGTAAAAGATCAAAATTCAAGGTCTACAATAGACAAAAGATATGTAGAATAAGGAAAGTGTTATGCAACCATCTCTTGATCCAACTCGTTGGCCCGTATTCATAGTCGGTTCTTATTTCAAGACTGTCTTAAGCAATGTCTTAAGATGCTAATAAGGCTCTGTGATTGGTTTATGACATCTTAAGATTGTACTTAAGATGGTCTTAAATATAAGAACTGACTATAAATACCGGCCTTTGTCTTATCCTTTAAAAATCCAACGTCTAACTTGTCAGGATGCCGATCGAATGACCGGTTACGTAAATCGAATTATTGAAGATTATTTGCTAAACTGCATAAAGTAGATGTGTGAAATGACGTGAACGTATATCGAAACCTTTGTAAAAGATCAAAATTCAAGGTCTACAATAGACAAAAGATATGTAGAATAAGGAAAGTGTTATCTAGTATCAAGGAAAAGGTTACGAGACTCACTGTCATTACGCGGATTGCTATACCGCCTCTGCGTCTTCCAGGTCGTCGATCGAACCTTTCCGGCGGTTTCCGTGTTAACGGCGTCGACGCTGGCGCTTCTCGAGACTCCCCTGTAAGGATTCGACGTGGCGTTCTCACTGGCGGTTGCGACACCAGCGATCTGCTCGTTAAGGGCGTACAACTTGGACGTAATGTCCTTACCGATGAGGGTGTTGATAACAACCTTGAGCAGCGGCCTGTGCCGAAGCACCCTGAGCAACTTCATTCTCGTCCAACAGATGTAAGTGCTAGGCTCCTCGGCTCGTATTGTCACCTGGAAGACGTCGGCGTCGTTTTCGTGCATAGCCTCCCATTCGGGTGAATCGACGAATTGGTAAGCTCTGATATAATGCAAGTGTGTTCCGTCGCAAGTTACCTTCAGTCTGGAATCGAGAGCGGGATTTAATATCGAAACTGTACGCGACGAGCGACTTTTTTACACCCGACAAAGAAATGTTGAGAAGGATTTCTTCTCTCCAATCGACAATAATAGATTAATGCAGTTAATAAAAAGATTAACTAAAGAATATAAAAAGGTCTTACAGACTCTTATTCTTTTCGATATTAATTTTACTTTATAAAAATCATAGAAATAATATAAAAAAAGTATTAGCGTCTCTATATTAATCCAGCTTTAATTAATTTTCTATTAAGATCAGCCTTCTTTCATAGAAAATAACGACTTTATATCCGGAAAGAATTAACTTTTAGTTAAAAAGAAGGGCACTTACTTTCCACGTAAAAGAATGGACAGCCTTTTATCTGCCTGCGTGACTCCTTCCGTCGCGTATGTCTGATCGGAATCCAGCTTAAGTATTCTCGCCTCTTTCGCCAACTCCTGGAAGTGTTTCTTGCTGACCTTATAGGGCTTGAAGAGCTTCAGGTAGAGCTCGGCTAATTCGGGACTGAGAGCCGGAGGTAGGAATCGACAGGCGAGTATCAGAGAGTGAATACCGTTCAGCAGACCGAGGGCCAAGCACCACAACATAGCGTCCAGGGCGCATATAGTGATTCCGGCCCAGAGAGCCGCCAACATAAAGCCCGCCGTGAGAAACGTGCGAAGAGCTAAGACGGAAGCCTTGAACGAGCGCGGCACTAGAAACGCAGCCGCAAAAAATAAATTTGCTGCCTGAAATTAAAATAGAATTAATAATTTTTAAATTCTCTAAAAATGCAAAAAAGAATTTCTAAAAAGAAGAATGAAAGACATTGATAATCCGATATTACATAAAAAAATTCAAAGGGGATGAAATTTAATTCCGACTACATTTAATTAAACTTCATTATTAAATTAATTATTAATATTAAATTTAACTTTATTATCTTCAAAAGCGAACTTTCACCTGAAAAAGCTTGTGCTGAGCAGCCTCCCATTCGTCGCAGTAACCACCCGGTATTAACACTGTCGCGTTCAGCCTTTCAGTGATGTTGTTGACCTCGGTGCCGTTCCAGACATCCAGCCACAGTTCCGTGTAGTTGAGATCGTCCAACGAGTAGCCGCCCAGACTGGGCAGACCGCTATAATTGAGGGTGTAACCCTCACTCGAGTAGGTCGCCGCCGATGTCGACGAGGTGGTAAACGGCGTCGTCGTCGAGGACGAGAGGAGGCTGCCGCCGGTCGTCGCGGGTGAGTCAGTCGTGTTCGCCATTTTTTGTCGAGGGCGCGTGACACGTGCCATCACCATTGACCTCTGCAAAACCAAGGGCATTGGTCCCCTTTAAATATCGATCTTTGAAAATTTGTGTTTGTCAATTCCTATTATACATGCGAGCTATAAATTGTTTTCATGACTGTAAAGATATATCCAATGTTATTTTGCAAGAATTTTTTATAGAGAATATATAGTTATAAAACCATTGTTGAAAAAGAAAACGATTCTCGATAATAAAAAAAATTAAATACTGCAGATCTTTCAAGAAGATAGCTTTAATATCACGAAGTGTGTATCTCTTCGAGATCTTTCTCTAACTAAAATCTTGATTGCCAAACGAACATTAGCGACCAATTAAGCTATCGTATTTTGAGTCAGAGAAATTTTCTTCATACGAACAATTTTCCGATATCCGTTAGTCGTTTCCGATACGTTTGAGTTGACCTTTCATATCTATGTATATTTTTGCCCTTAATTTATCGAAATTACAGTTAAGCACTGACTGTCAGATTTACAATGGAAGCCGCAAGCAACTGTACGATTAACGTGGAATATCGATTCGGCTCTTCGTGATTCGGGATGCAATATCTGAGCTTTATTATCTTCGAGGTCGCGCCGAAGGGCTGCGTGACTTTAGCATTTCGTTTCGCCGCCGGCCCAAAGATTTCGCGGGATATTTTCTGACTGAACGGCGAAAATCTCAAAATAGCATGCAGTTAAAGATCGATTACGTCATCGCCCAGAAAAGTCGATTTTATCTGCTTTCAAGCTGAGCTGTGCCCCGAAATTGCGCGAACGACTTCCAAACCGCAAAATCGAACAAAACCTCTTGGCACGTACTAGCTTTAGATCTCTCCATCTCAAGAGATATATCTTCATAATTTTTATACTATAAAACATGATATTAGGTTTTATGCAAAAACCCTTTTCATATAAAATCTAGTTCTTGCTACCGTTGTGATCCAACAATTCATGTGATATCTTACTGTACAAGCTAAAACTAGCAAATTGCGTTCAAATAGGTTTTTAGATTGAAACGAATAAATGCGTACAATTCTTGTTCAGAATTAGAAATTAGATATTTAACAAAAATATTGATGTCTATCTTTGTACGAAAAAGAAGAGACAAAAAAAATATGCATATATATACATGAAAGAAAGATATCTTAATATATTAAGATATAAGATATCTTTATATAAAATATATCTTATAAAATTACAGAGAAAATTTAAAATAATTTTACATATATTTCCTCATTTTTTCCATAAAGAAAAACAATCCATATCGTTTATTCCGAATCGTTTGCGATTCAACTATAAATATCGTCATAAAAAAAAACCGCGCAAAAGAATTTTTAATTATCTCTTATTGCGAGGCACGCTGTTATCGATGCGAGCTACGCAACCAGCTAGAAACGGCCAGAAATGCCGTTTAAAGTCCTTTCCGCTGACACAGCACGCGCCAATAAGCGTGAATCCGCTCTCGGAATGATTCAATATTATTATTCGATTTTCGATATTTCCGTCCGAGGTGGGCCGATGCCACGCTTTTCTAACAGAACTACGTTCCATCGAACGGAAATTCGTTAGGACACT